AGGCAAGCATTACGCCGTTAAGGTGAAGTGAAACATCCTTCAAATCAGTCGATTCGTATACAACACTTTTTTTTTAAGGGTATTAGACCAAACTGTCCGAAACTTTGACACATCGGAGAATTGTCCTGACACATACAAAATTTGGATTTTGTAAACAAATTTTTTAATTCAGCCCAGACCGGAACCAAAATGGCGTCGAGCTCTCATATTTCGATCAATATACAATTATCGAAAGCTCTGATATGAGAATTGAAAGGGTCAGGACAATTTTACGACAATTTAGAACACTTTGATAGTCGATAAACTCACATTTGAACGGGATAAAGGCAAAAAAAAGTGTTGTATGCGCTTCTTTGCTAAAACGATGGTAATAAGGGGTCTCGGAGTGAAAATTTAATTGACCTGGAAATCACAGATGGCGCAGGGGGTCCCTCCGCAGTCAAATAAGGCCCCAGAAAGCATGAATCCAGAGGATTTCTGGAGTTTTACCTCGATTTCTTTATAATTTTTGTACGAAAACGACAGGTGGAATATGCCATTTGGTACAATACACAATATAATTCGACTCCGCTGTCAATATAAAAACCAACGTCGGCAACGTAGGCATTTAGAAAAATCTTCTTTATCGACGTCGATCAAGTTCCTCTATGTGTTTCACTTCACCTTAATACGACCGATAGCGAGCTTATCATTTGGAGAAAATTCCTGCAAAGAGCTCATTTCCTGTAAGAAACGAAACAAAATCGAGACAACCTGGAATATCAACACTTGGGTAATACGTACGAGTTGGGGAAATCTTGAATTGAACATTTTCTAAGCGAAAAGAAAAAGTCAATGGACGGTGTGATAATAGACTCCTGCGTATTGGCCGGGTGTGGGGAATCCTGGGGAATTTCTAGGGCACATCGTTTACCTGCAGTTTCATAAAAACTGCACTTGAATTTAATCGTAAGTGAAAATCCGCAATATTGCGGGTACCTGCGTACTGTAGCGTGTTGTGAAAAGTGTTAACAGGTGAGATATTAAGATTTATGTTTGTATATTGTAATAACATTTATGCATAACGGTTATTAATATGCGAAAATATACATACTAGTTGTCCAAGATGGCGACCGCCACGGCGGCCTTCTCGAAAGTTTCATTGACCGTTCTTTACACCGAGCGGGCCGAATCGATACTGGATTCACGAGTTTTAAGAAACTCCTGTAAGTTTAAAGCGAATGGAGACGAAAACTTGTTCGCATTTCTCGACGCCGTTCATCGGGTATAAGTACACCTCGTGGTATTTCTTCGACCTCTGTCTCTCATTGAGGAATATCATTGAAATACGTAAAATGCATTGTTCAGTAAAAAATGTGAAATATTATCGCGTCTCTCTTTCTCTCTATGATAAGCACATTTTTCGCGATGTAATCTGGTTTGGTAGAAAATATGAAACATCGTGGCAATTCGCGGATTTTATATATTTTATTTTTTTTTTTTTAAGTTAAAAGGTCCAAACCAGAACCAACATGGCGTCGAGCTCTGATATGAGAATCGAAAGGGTCAGGACAATTTTACGACAATTNTCCATCTATCCCAATTGTCGGGGATAGATGGACCAGTTTCCCGTCCATACAAACAACGCTACCGACATCCCATTTTAGGTTAAGATTGTACTCAAGTATACACTTGAGTTATAGGATTGATCTTACGTCGAAATCATTTAAACTAACTTAACCACATATCAAATAAATCCAGTATAAAATATTTTTCAACTCACCAAAAGAAATAAACAAAGTTTTCTTCTAAAATACGCATGAAACTCATGAGCAAAACAGCGTGGTTCCGTCTACTCAAGAACAACTTCAGACAACGACTGCAGCGCTGCTGTGGCACCCCAGCCAAGTATTCGACTAGTCCGTCTATACCGGTGGTCCATATATGCCGGACTTACCCTATATAATGTGATCTTGGTTAGGACGCGGAATATATGTGCCCATAATTATGAAAGTGGTCTAAGTCATATTTTTTGTTTCAAAATTACATTGAATTAATTTCGTTTGAAATAATATGGCGTGAAATAACTGATAAACTCATTTTTTTTTTTTAATTTTGACTTAGACCACTTTCATAATTATGGGCACATATGACCAAGGTAAGAAAAAAAGGAGAAATGCAATTGTCCGCCGTTAATCGGCGGGCCGTTTATTGCGTCAACGTAAATTGCGGACTTCCACATCGTAGAAATCTGTAGAAAACATTTCGAGGTAACTCGATCTAAGTCTTACACCCTGCCTAAAAGGGACATGTAGAGAGTCGTGCAATTGCGTGAGCTAGACATTGCAGAGAAAGAAGCTTTAATTGCGAGTACGGCGAGAAATCCTGATAGTGAATATTGCAAATAAATCTCCATACTGTTCCCACGAATGATAATACGCAAATTAAGATTATCAACACGAATCAGGATTTTTCCCGACAATGGTTAGCCATTAAGGTGAAGTGAAACACCCTTCAAATCAGTCGATTCGAATACAACACTTTTTTTTAAGGGTAAAAGACCTAACTGTCCGAAACTTTGACACATCACTCCTGATCATCTAAGAATTGTCCTGGCACATTCAAAATTTGGATGTTTCAAAAAAATTTGTTAACTTAGCCCAGACCAGAACCAATCAATACACAATTATCGAAGGCTCTGATATGAGAATCGAAAGGGTTAGGACAATTTTACGACAATTTAGAACACTCTGGTAATCGATAAACTCGCATTTAAACAAGATAGATGCAACAAAAAGTGTTGTATGCGCTTCTATGCCAAAACGATGGTAATACGAGGTCTCGGAGTGAAAATTTAATTGACTTGGAAATCACAGATGGCGCAGGGGGTCCCTCTGTAGTCAATTAAGGCCCCGGAAAGCACGAATCCAGAGGATTTCTGGAGTTTTACTTCGATTTCTTTATAATTATTGTACGAAAACGACAGGTGGAGTATGCCATTTGGTACAATACTCCAAGATAATTCGACACAGCCGTCAATATAAAAACCAACGTCGGCAACGTAGGCATTTAGAAAAATCTTCTTTATCGACGTCGATCAAGTTCCTCGACGTGTTTCACTTCACCTTAAGTCTTTCCTCGCGAGCTTACAACCTGCCTGGCGCTACAACAATAAAATGGTCGGCGGTTCCGCGATTAATCGTCTTGACATAAATCCTACGATCGGGCCGATTATATTCTACACTTTGCTCCCGCAAAGTCGATATCTCACCCTGCCTAAAAGGGAAGAATAAGTTAGTCATGCAACGGTGCTCCTCTCCTAGGGCCTCTTACTCTTATGGCCGCCTGGTACGCGCGCCATAATCGATAATTACCGATAATTACCAACGAACAGTTATTGCTATCAGTCGATTGTTATACCCTGCTTCAAAGGGAACCTTAGATGTTCTAATTGCCGAGGGCGAGATCCGGATGGACGCCTCGAAGACGAGATTGCTCCGGCACGAGGGGAAGTCCTTTCCACCGAGCGAGTCCAGAGGATGGCCCGAAGGACCCCCCTCGACGCCCTCGACAAGGAATAAATATTCTATCAGTCTCTTCGTATGAGCTTTACACCCTGCCTAAAAGGGAAGATAAGATGGTCATGCGCGTTTGCTCTACACCTTGGGCCCATCTTCGTACGTGAACCCGACGAACCTTCTCCGAGGACTTGAACGCCTGTTTCGAATCCGAACTCCCTTGGTCGCCATTGTCGCAACTCCGGTTCGGTGCATTTCATTTCTACGACGATTTAGGCCTCGATTTAAGGGCGCTCACCACTGTAGCATTTTGCAGGGCCTCACGGGGACAACGATTCCGAACGTATTTCTAAACCGATCGAGCTTAACGAGTGCTCATATCGAAGATGAAACGTTGACCTGTGTTTACATGGGAGCGATTTTCGATAAGTGGTCATTTTCATATAAAAAAAGTGCAACGACATAATTTCAATGCCCTTTTACCTAGGAAGGAGGTGCTCGATCGAAAATCCCTCCCATATAAACACACGTCAACATTTTATCTTTAAAACGAGCACCCGTTGAGCTCGATCGGTTGAGAAATACGCTCAAAATCGTTGTCCCCGTGGAGGACCTTTTTCAGGATTTTCGAATTTCCCGCGAGGAATTTGGGCGTCCTTGGCAACCGTTGCCGACTCTACGTGCGGGCGGCCGGGGGTCACCCACGTTTCGGCGCCTAGTCCAGAGGCGTCTAGCCGTTGCGTGAGTCCTATACGTGCAAAATACCCAGACATTTTTCGCCCTTTGCTAAACACTGCCCATTATGCGTCGCGTCTCCCTCATCCGAGCGAGAAAGTACGTTTTGGTTACCTCCCACCGAATTCGATGCTATTGCCATCTAGCGGTGGAAGTCATCGTCCCCACTTTGGTGGTGAACGCCGTTAATCGCTACGATTGCGCTCACTTTGCCGAGCGTCTTTTAAATAGAAAAATCGATTCAAGAGGTACAGTGGATTCCAACGGATGTTCAAGTCGAACTCGTGTCTAGGACCTCGTTTCGCGTCACTCGGTCGGGGATGCGTTAAACGTTCTTTGGACGCGATTGTGGAGTTTAAACATCTCGTGTAGTAATCGCTCAACGTCCAGTGCATCCCCGTAGCTTCGACCGATGCGTTTCTTATGGAATATAAGGGCCCTGATATACAATACATAGACCTTATCTACTAACAAGGAAACGTTCCCAAGTGTCCGCCCCCGATCTTATTGATTTCCATGTATGTTGAAGAACACAAAAATCTAAGAGACACGTGTTTTTTTATATCTAAGAGACACGTGTTTTTTTTTATTATAAGTTTCGTCGAAATCCCTCCATTGCTTCTACGAAAATTATTATAAAAATCGAATTTTCCCCAAACTTTGGGGGGTTGTTTCCCCCCTTAAATGTGGACCATCGCAGATATAAAAAAACACGTGTCTCTTAGATTTTTGTGTTCTTCAACATACATGAAAATCAATAAGCTCGGGGGCGGACACTTGGGAATGTTTCCTTGAGAAAAAAAAAAAGTGGTATTAAATTTATATCCTGAAATATTCGCCCATTCCTAAACAGGGTGTAATAAGTAACTACAATCTATAGTTGTATATTATAACCCTTTTATAGACTGGCGAATATTTCCCAACTCTGTTTAAATCTGCACATCCGGAAGGGCGCATAAAAACCAGGCCAGAGATTTCCGGAGATTCCGATACGGTAAGCCAAGAAAAAAAAAAACAATTGGAGCATCTCTACAAGGAATACCTTCGTCCGTTACCATTTTTGGAGATCCCGAAGTTTGGACCGACCGATCAAGCAATCGTACTAATTTCCACATCCCGAGTGTCCCTCTTCCTCCTCTTGGACTTCCTGCAGTTCAACTCCTCCTGAATCTCCAGGAGGGATTTCCCCTTGGTCTCGGGAACGACGAAGAAGATGAAGGCGATGCCGAAGAAGCACGTGGAAGCGAACCATCCGAAGGCTGCATAAATCCCACAGGTGTCCGTAACCACTTGGTACATCTTGGAGACGACGAAAGCCAAGAGAGAGGCCCAGAGATTCACCAGGGACACGGTGACACCCTTGACGTTTGTAGGGAACAGTTCCCCCAGCATCATGTACGGCAGCGGACTGAGCCCCAGGGCGATGATCAGCTCGTACGCCATGACGGAGGCGTCCAGGATCCAACCCAAGCCCTTGGTACTCACTTCCAGGTGCAACTTCAGGAAATAAAAGCCAGCGCTGATGGACAGCACCAATCCTGCCAGGAAGGTCGTGATCAGGAGGAGAGGTCTTCTGCCGAGCCTATCCACCACGGCGGCGGCTCCTAGGCCTCCGATTAGCTGAAGAGAGCTCAGGACTATCACGGCAACCCCTGCCGAGAGTCCAGATTCTCCTTCCTCGAAGATCTCTTGGGTGTATGATTCTATGGCCGCGATTCCACTAAACTGGAGCACCAATTGCAGTCCGAAACTGATCAGCGTCGCTCTTCTGTTCCCAGGGGTGTCGAAGAGGTCCCAGACCTTCGCCTTGTCCACTAAGTCCCGGAGGACGGTCTTCTGCATCTGCTCCATGTCTTCTTCGAGGTCTCCCGGAGTCTGGTACCTGGAGGTTTAAATACGTCATTCAACCGAGAATATAAACGATTATTGAGGTGCTACGAAAGGGTCATTCATATATACATATCGTATACGATATATATGTATATATCGTATATATACATATATATATATGTATCGTCGAATGGGTCGAAACAACTGTACCACGCGAAGGAAGGTCCTGACCCCCGTGAAATATAATTTTTTATGAACAATTTAAAAAATATTGATTTTCGTGAAGGGTTTCACGAGACCTCTCCGATGCCACTTTCGTGTCGCCTTAAGGTGAAGTGAAACTCGTCGAGGAACTTGGTCAACGTCGATAAAGAAGATTTTTCTAAATGCCTACGTTGCCGACGTTGGTTTTTATATTGACGGCTGTGTCGAATTATCTTGGATATTGTACCAAATGGCGTACACCATATGTTTCCGTACAATAATTATAAAGAAATCAAAATAAAACTCCAGAAATCCTCTAGATTCATGCTTTCTGGGGCCTTAATTGACTGCAGAGGGACCCCCTGCGCCATCTGTGATTTCCAGGTCAATTAAATTTTTACTCCGAGACGTCGTATTACCATCGTTTTGGCATACAAGCGCATACAACACTTTTTTTGCCTTTTTCCCGTTCAGATACGAGTTTATCGATTACCACGATGTTCTAAATTGTAAAATTGTCCTGACCCTTTCGATTCTCATATCAGAGCCTTCAATAATTGTATATCGATCGAAATATGAGAGCTCGACGCCATTTTGGTTCTGGTCTGGACTGAATTAAAACATTTCTTTACAAAATCCAAATTTTGAATGTGTCAGGACAATTCTTAGATGATCAGGATGTGTGAAAATTCCGGACGGTTTGGACTAATACCCTTCAAAAAAAGTGTTGTTTTCGAATCGACTGGTTTGAGGGGAATTTCACTTCACCTTAAGAGATTATTATGAAAAATCCAAATTTTGAATGTGTCAGGACAATTCTTAGATGATCAGGATGTGTCAAAGTTTCGGACAGTTTGGTCTAATACCCTTAAAAAAAAGTGTTGTATTCGAATCGACTGATTTGAAGGGTGTTTCACTTCACCTTAAGAGATTATTATGAAAAATCCAAATTTTCAATGTGTCAGGACAATTCTTAGATGATCAGGATGTGTGAAAATTCCGGACGGTTTGGACTAATACCCTTAAAAAAAAGTGGTGTTTTCGAATCGACTGATTTGAAGGGTGTTTCACTTCACCTTAAATTGTGTAGAATTTGAAAATGCTACCGGTACCTCTTCAATTTGGTAAGGCTCGCTGCAGCAGCCTCCTGGCGGTTCTTCATCAACAGGTAGTAAGGGGATTCCGGCATCCAGGAGAAGGTCAGGAAGAAGAGAGCCGGGATTATGGCACACCAGTAGACCAGCCACTCGTAGGACACGAAGGGACCGAAAGCGTGAGCGTAAAGTTCCCCAAAAGTCACCATGAGCTTGATGAAGGACCCTAGGGATCCCCTGATGTTCTTATCGGCTATCTCGCCGATGTACATGGGGCATACCACGTAGACGATGCCTTGACCTAGGCCACTTATGAACCTGGAGGCGTACAGGGTGTAGGCGTTGTCTGCCAGGATTATCAGCACCCACCCTAGGCTCAGGGGAATCCCTGATAAGAGGAGGCTGCTCTTCCGGCCTAATCGATCCACGATTAGGGCGGCGATCACGTTCCCCGGGATTGATCCCAATAGATAAAACGATGCGATCCAGGATGCGTCTCCTGAAGTGATCCCGAACGGGGATTTTTCGTTCTTCAACTTTGGCAGGATTGGTGATGTCCATCCGATATGCGAACCCGTGATCGCCAAGGAAATTGTTGCTGGAATGATGTCATTTTTTATCCTATGATTTAAGGCGAAGTGAAACCCCTTTCAAATCAGTCGATTCGAATACAACACTTTTTTTTAAGGGTATTAGACCAAACTGTCCGAAACTTTGAATCATCTAAGAATTGTCCTGACACATTGAAAATTTGGATTTTTTTAAATAATTCTTTAACTTATCCCAGACCAGAATCAAAATGGCGTCGAGCTCTCATATTTCGATTGATATACAATTATCGAAGGCTCTGATATGAGAATCGAAAGGGTCAGGACAATTTTACGATTGTCAATTAAATGATTGTCAATTAAATTTTCACTCCGAGACCTCGTATTACCATCGTATTAGCAAAGAAGCACATACAACACTTTTTTGACCTTTATCTCGTTCAAATGCGAGTTTATCGATTACCAGAGTGTTTTAAATTGTCGTAAAATTGTCCTGACCCTTTCAATTCTCATATCAGAGCCTTCGATAATTGTATATCGATCGAAATATGAGAGCTCAACATCATTCATCGATCTTAAGGTGAAGTGAAACATCGATGGACCCCCTGCGCCATCTGTGATTTTCAGGTGAATTAAATTTTCACTCCGAGACCTCGTATTACCATCGTTTTGGCATACAAGCGCATACAACACTTTTTTTGCCTTTATCCCATTCAAATACGAGTTTACCGATTTCCAGAGTGTTCTAAATTGTCGTAAAATTGTCCTGACCCTTTCAATTCTCATATCAGAGCCTTCGATAATTGTATACTGATCGAAATATGAGAGTTCGACGCCATCTTGTTTCTGGTCCAGGCTGAGTAAAAAAATTGTTTGGAAAAATCCAAATTTTCAATGTGTCAGGACAATTCTTAGATGTGTCAAAGTTTCGGACGGTTTGGTCTAATACCCTTAAAAAAAATTGTTGTGTTCGAATCGACTGATTTGAAGGGTGTTTCACTTCACCTTAAAATCCGGAAAACCCACCTGTAATCGCCGCCAGATATTGCGGCCATTGCTTGGTGCGCTTGTGGTTCATCCTTCGTATTTCTTCGTCCCGACTCGGTCGTCGAGAGCTAGACTGCAAATTAAGAAATGGCGAAATTCGATTTTATTCACTCCACTAATTGTTTGCACAGCTGATACGATAGCGGCCTTCGGGCGGAACTTACAGAAATAGACGACGAATCTCGCTTTGGCGTCACCGAAGCAATTGTTAGGACTTAATTCATCTCGACGATGCCCGATCTCGATCTCGTCGATGCGCCTTTTATACCAAGCCTTATCACCTGAGGATCGCTTATCGCCTGCATTGCCTTAGCCCCTTGATTTGTAGGGCGAAAAGAAAACACCTTCATTAAGGTGAAGTGAAACCCCCTTCAAATCAGTCGATTCGAATACAACACTTTTTTTTAAGGGTATTAGACCAAACTGTCCGAAACTTTGACACATCTAAGAATTGTCCTGACACATAGAAAATTTGGATTTTGTAAACAAATTTTTTAATTCAGCCCAGAGCAGAACCAAAATGGCGTCGAGCTCTCATATTTCGATCAGTATACAATTATTGAAGGCTCTGATATGAGAATTGAACGGGTCAGGACAATTTTACGACAATTTAGAACACTTTGATAGTCGATAAACTCACATTTGAACGGGATAAGGGCAAAAAAAGTGTTGTATGCGCTTCTATGCTAAAACGATGGGAATACGAGGTCTCGAAGTGAAAATTTAATTGACCTGGAAATCACAGATGGCGTAAGGGGTCTCTCTGCAGTCAATTAGGGCCCCAGAAAGCACGAATCCAGAGGATTTCTGGTATTTTACTTCGATTTCTTTATAATTATTGTACGAAAACGACAGGTGGAGTACGCCATTTGGTACAATACCCAATATAATTCGATACAGCTGTCGATATAAAAACCAACGTCGTCAACGTAGGCATTTAGAAAAATCTTCTTTATCGACGTCGATCAAATTCCTCGACGTGTTTCACTTCACCTTAACCGATGTAAATTGACATACTCGATCGTTGATTACTTCGATGGCACAATAAATTGCAGCATAATCGCATCGTCCCTGTAATATTGAAATTATGATCTAATTAATCCGCGTCCGTGTAGAGACCCTCTGTGAATAATTTCATCACCGCGTGATTGGTAATTGAATTTCTTATGGTTCTTTGGAACGGCGATGTTCGGTTAATGTCGAGCCGTTCCAGAAGACTCTAATTAGCCTTTTCGACGGTTCATTTCCACCGCGACTTATGCAAATATTGTCCCCGAAGGTGGCACGACGCGCTCACGCGGTTGTGTTTGCTCTTGGCTGGTGCAAGATACAAGAAAAGATCATCTTCCTTGGGAGAGGCGTACTTTGCGTCAAAAAGATTTTCGAATTAAGGTAATGTAAAACATCCTTCAGATCAGTCGATTCGAATACAACACTTTTTTTTAAGGGTATTAGACCAAACTGTCCGAAACTTTGACACATCTAAGAATTGTCCTGACACATTGAAAATTTGAATTTTTCAAAAAAATATTTTAACTCAACTCAGACCAGAACCAAAATGGCGTCGAGCTCTCATATTTCGATCAATATACAATTATCGAAGGCTCTGATATGAGAATTGAAATGGTCAGGACAATTTTACAACAATTTAGAACACTCTGGTAATCGATAAACTCGCATTTGAACGGGATAAAGGCAAAAAAGTGTTATTTACGCTTGTATGCCAAAACGATGGTAATACGAGGTCTCGGAGTGAAAATGTAATTGACCTGGAAATCACAGATGGCGCAGGGGTCCCTCCGCAGTCAATTACGGCCCCAGAAGGCATGAATCCAGAGGATTTCTGGAGTTTTATTTCGATTTCTTTATAATTATTGTACGAAAACGACAGGTGGAGTATGCCATTTGGTACAATACCCAATACAATTCGACCCAGCTATCAATATAAAAACGAACGTCAGCAACGTAGGCATTTAGAAAAATCTCTTTATCGACGTTGATCAAGTTCCTCGACGTGTTTCACTTCACCTTAAAAGAATTGGAAGGTGCTTTTTCACCTCCCTTTTTTGGGGTATTAATTCTTGAAGCTCGTCCAAGGAATTCCCCGAAACTTTAAGGCATGCTAATCCGGAGGGGAGAAAGTAATTATTTACCGAGAGAGGTGTATTTAGTTGGACGTGGATCGGGCGTAAAATAATTTCTGCCTCTTGGCTGTATGAAAAAACAAGATGGCGGCACAGTCGGTCGCTGGTTGTATTCTTGACTCGTGAAATGATTCACCTTTATCGCACGATCGTTTTCGTAATCGCCACTCCTCCGTGAAACCTCGTTACGCCCTTATCTTACTAGAGGGGTTTGCCAAATTAGCGAGTTTACCCCGTACTCCCAAAATGTAGTTTCGTCTGGTTCCATCGATAAAAATGCATGATCTCCTTCCCTAAGGAACATCAAAAGCTAAGTAAGTTATTCCGCGAAAAGCGTCTCGTCTTGCGAAAACCACGGGATATCGTTCCGCGACCTCGAGTCTCAAACAACGGTTGTAAATTACAATCTAGATAACGCTGCTCGCTGTTGAGTTAGAACCAGGCGCGCCTGTGAAATCTAACGAAAATGGGTCGATTCCTGAGACGCAAGATCTAAGCGTCATCGAGATAAGCGCGTCATCGATTCAAATCTAACGCCTTCGAGGCTCCTCCGCCGCCATATTGGATCTCGCCGATCGCGAGACTCGACGCATCGAGATATCGATCGGCGCTGAGGCCACAAAAACAACTATCAATGTAAAATAATTGGTAACGTTGCTCACCGTTCAGTTAGAACTAGATCCTTCGCCTGAATTTAGTGAAATTAATATAAAGGATCGGTTTCTGAAACGGGAGGTCTAAGCTTTACTATCAACCAGTTGAAATCCCTCAAATATGGCGCAAGTGAACGGTCTCGGGCCGCCATCTTGGATCTCGCGGTTAGCGAGACTCGACGCTTCGAGGTATCGATCGCTTCCGGGGCGACAGTCGCGAGCAGTCGCGAGTTGTCTGCTAGCGAGAGAGGTCGAGGTCGCGTCGCTTCGGTGCCCAGGTCCTGTAGATGCTGATTTCCCGCGGACTGCAGGTCAAGTGACGTCAAAAAGCACCCTGGGCGTCTTCCAGGACGGGCTGAGGACTTTCCTCTGCGTGGATGCGAGAAGGACGACTCTGGGGCCGGACTGAGGGAGCCATCGCGCCCGAAGATGTGTGGCGGCTTTACGTGCTCAAAAAACGCTCTGACAGCGCTGAATATACTCTACATCGTGAGCATTCTCTTTTTCCCATTATATCGACAAAGAGTCGCGAAGGAGTCGTCGAACTTCTAACGACAGCAAGTGTATGTATTGGACAGTGACCCGAATTAACTTTGAACCAAGTGGCAAAGTCTCGTCGAGTGATTTATATCTCAGGTTAAAAATAACACAATTACGATTCCATTTCTGGATTTGCGTGCCCTTAATTGCGTTCTATCTGTACATTGGAAGCAGATATTTATATCTGACTGGTCTGATGGAGACAGGACTTGCGTAGAGACTTCGATAATGGGTTTTGCAGCATTACGTCTCTGTTAAATGTTAATTTTAATTAAACTTCTCTATTGTAGATGATTTCAAAGCTTTGTATGACGACGTGAATAACGTATTGGCTTGTAACTTGTCCAACTTTTGCGGCATTCGGCATTGTAGATAATTTCATTGTCAACAGGTCGTCGCCTTCATCTTGATCGGAGTAGCTGTCTATGGAAGGGCTTCGGCATTGGTCACTAATCTCCCGATTATTGGCGGAATATTGGCATGTGGCGTCATTCTGATTTTGATCTCGATACTCGGCCTCATCGGAGCCGTCAAGCATCATCAAGTTTTGCTGTTTTTCGTATCCTTATGGGGTTATTTAACTCGCGCCTCGTCGAATTACTTTGGATAACTTTTAATGTCAATCTTGTACTCGATAGATGTGTAAGAGACCTCCTTAACCACGTAATTATAGTACATGCTCGTCCTGTTCCTCTTGTTTATGGTCCAATTCAGCATCGCTTGTGCTTGTCTGGCGGTTAATGCCGAGCAACAAGAGCAACTCGCGGAACAGGTATATTTACCGTTGTTTGATGTGTTTAAAATCAAGAGGAGTGAAATTAAAACTTAAACAAGAATCACTCTGGATTAAGATATGCAACTTAACGATCCACTTCTTCTGTCTTTGTTCTAGGGATGGAAACGAGTAAGTCCAGACTTGAGAACTACGGTTCAAGAGACTTTTCATTGCTGCGAGTTTAACGAAACCATTATCGCCACTCCTGAATTGATCCCCAAGACTTGTGAAGAAGTAAGCGTAAGTTTCAGTGACCAGGAAAGAGCATGCCTTTCACCGTTGATACTTTAACGGGCAATTTATGTACATCTTTGTCACTTTTACGGTACCAGAAAAATTGCTGTCAACCCGGTAAGGAAGTATGCGAGTGCAATACTTGCATGAAGAAACTGCAGTCGACCATTGATTACGCATTCAAACTGTGCGGAGGGATAGGATTATTTTTCAGCTTCACAGAGGTGAGTCGATGAGTGAACGTACCATTCTAAATAGGTCCACCGTTATCTTATCGATACATGTGGAACGAAAGTCTTGTTTTCCGATGCCAAGGGAATTTGGCACCGTGTAAGGATCAACTCTTGTTGAATCTATGCTTTATCGAGCAAGTAATTTCGAATTACCTACTTGGAGTTTTCCTTTCGTTAAGATTCGTCGGGTCAGAAATAATGAAAAATCATTCTAAATGCTTGAGATGCTTTCAAATCATATTTGTAAGTAGTGTTTTATACAGCTTTGAGTAAACTAATGTTCTCACCGCCCTCACGATCTTATTTAGACGATTACGACAAAGTCCGTCTTTATTGCACCTGTTTATACGACGCTAACGTATTTGCTTATTACAGTTTGTCGGTGTGTGGTTGACCGTGCGCTACAGGAACCAGAAAGATCCAAGAGCTAACCCTAGTGCTTTCCTCTAGTCTAACACCATCGCCATGTCCCTCGTCTCCTCGCACGATCCCTCTGATAGATGGTGGGTGGTATTGTCGTTATCATTGTATCGTAAGAAAAAAAATATCAGAAAATATTCCATATTTCGTTTGAGCGTTTTATTTGGAGTTCTTCACTTGTAGGTTTCTTTGAAAATGGCCAAGCCCTCGATGGGACCTATACAGGGTGACTCACGACTTCATTAGATTTTTGTTTAGTCGAGTAATTATTCTTTGAAATAATGAAATATTTCTTTGGTACGATGAAAACTTTTTCTTCGATTTTCGAAGCCACGGTGGCGAACTCCAATGCGCTGTTTCAAATTCTTGTTACTTTAAGGTGAAGTGAAACACCCTTCAAATCAGTCGATTCGAATACAACACTTTTTTTTAAGGGTATTAGACCAAACTGTCCGAAACTTTGACACAACGCTCCTGATCATCTAAGAATTGTCCTGACACATTCAAAATGTGTGGATATTTTAACAAAATTTTTTAACTCAGCCCAGACCAGAACTAAAATGGCGTCAAGCTCTCATATTTTGATCGATATACAATTATCGAAGGTTCTGATATGAGAATCGAAAGGGTCAGGACAATTTTACGACAATTTAGAACACTCTTGTAATCGTTAAACTCGCATTTGAACAGGATAAAGGCAAAAAAAGTGTTGTATGCGCTTCTATGCTAAAACGATGGTAGTACGAGGACTCGGAGTGAACATTTAATTGACCTGGAAATCACAGATGGCGCAGGGTGTCCCTCTGCAGTCAATTGGGGCCCCAGAAAGCTTGAATCCAGAGGATTTCTGGAGTTTTACTTCTATTCCTTGATATTTATTGTACGAAGACGACAGGTGGAATATGCCATTTGGTACAATACACAATATAATTCGACCCAGCTGTCAATATAAAAACCAACGTCGGCAACGTAGGCATTTGGAAGAATGTTCTTTATCGACGTTGATCAAGTTCCTCGACGTGTTTCACTTCACCTTAAAGTTCTCGTGTCTGTCTGAAGCTTTCATGTTCTTTTTTTTTTTTTTTTTTTTTTNTTTTTTTTTTTTTTTTTTTCTTGCTTTTTAATCGACAAATCGACGAGCATTCATCACAACGCACGATATTTTTAGGTAATTGCAGCTTTCCTGGCGCGGCGCTACCGGAATCAATTAGACCCTGAGGAGAAAGCTGCAAGAGCGATGTTCCCGCAAGAAAATTACATTTATTGAGGTATTCTGCAATCCTAAACAAAATGGCTGGCATTTATGGTGCGTCTTTAATGAGGCAGGAAGGTAGCTACGACATGCTTCGCAGCGTTTAATGTGTGCTCAAGTTCGTCTGAAATTTATTTACGAGTTGGATGAATATTCAATACTTGTGCCCATAATTATGAAAGTGGTCTAAATCATATATTTTTTGTTTCGAAATTACATTGAATTAATTTCGTTTGAAGTAATATGGCGTGAAATAACTGATAGACTCATTTTTTTTTTTTTTAATTTTGACTTAGACCACTTTCATAATTATGGGCACACTTGTCAGACCCAGTCGGCTTTCTTTTTTAATAAGTTGCTCGCGAGCTTAGATTGACGGTGAAATGATTTGCATTTAAATCCTTACTGTCGGTAAATCGTGGAAGGCATGTTAAGGACGTTTCGAATTAACGAGAAATCTCATTACGTCACATTGATATTATTATATTCGAAGCCAAAGAAGAAAGGATTTCGTTGGCAGTAGTTAGGATGGGATTTGAATCGTAGTCTGTCATCTGTCGGAAGCTTGATTTTGTAATCGATTTCACAAGATTCAATTTCAGTGACGAATTAATAATGTCGTTCGTCGCCCTTAAGGCGATGTGAAAGTAGCGACTTTAAGGTGAAGTGAAACATCCTTCAAATCAATCGATTCTAATACAACACTTTTTTTTAAGAGTATTAGACCAAATTGCTCGAAACTTTGACACATCGAAGAATTGTCCTGACACATTGAAAATTTGGACTTTTCAAAAGAATTTTTTTACTCAGCCCAGACCAGAAACAAAATGGCGTCGAACTCTGATATTTCGATGATATACAATTATCGAAGGCTCTGATATGAGAATCGAAAGGGTCAAGACAATTTTACGACAATTTAGAACACTTTGGTAGTCGATAAACTCACATTTGAACGAGATAAAGGCAAAGAAAGTGTTGTATGCGCTTCTTTGCTAAAACGATGGTAATAAGGAGGTCTCGGAGTGAAAATTTAATTGACCTGGAAATCACAGATGGCGCAGGGGGTCCCTCCGCAGTCAATTAGGGCCCCAGAAAGCACGAATCCAGAGGATTTCTGGAGTTTTACTTAGATTTCTTTATAATTATTGTAGGAAAACGACAGGTGGAATATGCCATTTGGTAGAATACACAATATAATTCGGTATAGCTGTCGATATAAAAACCAACGTCGGCAACGTAGGCATTTAGAAAAATCACTTTATCGACGTCGATCAAGTTTCTCAATATGTTTCACTTCACCTTAACATTTAACCTTAACGCGATTTTCTCCACGGTTTTTGGGGGAAGTGATCATTAGACGTTTGAAATCAAGTGTTAGGGCGATTTTCGGGGATAATTATATAATAGAAAGCGAAATGTGTGCTCTAGTCAGCCACTATGAACATTGATAACAAGCCTCAATGCGCCTTGTAGTCTAGCATCAAACGGACCTCTGTAGATAGACTTTCTATTTTTTTTAATTTTTTTTTCCTTCCGAAACTCTCCTACTCATTTTATCACGGTCATGTTTCGTTTCGTCTCGTCCAGATGATATCGAATTGTTGTAACATTCCAATGTTCAATAACTACTAGATGACGTAAAGGAATAATTTTTGTTTCTCGAATATTTGACACTCGTTTCGGTTACTTCGAATGGGAAATTCCTTGTTTGAGATCGATCAAAATGCCCGACATTAATTCCGGGTGGTACAAATACTGTCTCGCGACTGAAATAAGTCGCTGTTACTAATCGAATCTACCTTGCTCCTGTTTGTCAAAATTTTATGCTAATTTAACACCGATATCGAACGAGTGGTAACACTCGACTTAGTGTGTACTCGAGATGCCTAGATGGATATTATAATCGAAAGCTGGCACTATTTCTCCTCTCTGGACTTCTTTTAAAAGAGTTCGAGGAGGGGATCTCTACTTGGAAGGAATTAACCGACTCGATCGATACCTAAATACCTAGGCATTTATTTTTTTAACAATCTTACGTTGTGTATCTTTAAAGTTATGTGGAAGTGGCATCGAAGAGGTCATTTATGAGACTTTTCCCAGAACTGGGTGTACCGAATCGTATCAAATTTTACAGTAAATAATTTGGAGGTTATGAAGAATGTCTCGACACCCATAAAATTTCAATTTTTTTTTTTTATAAGAAATGAAATTTTATGCGTCTCGGGGCCTTTCTCATGACCTACATATTCACGGTGTAAAGTTTGAAAATGTTTGGTACACCCTGCTTGTGAGAAAAGTTTTGTCGACTGGGCCTCTTCCGTGCCCCTTTCGTATCACCTTAAGGCAGAGTACCCGACAAACGCTTGGCATTAAATCAAATTTTACGCCAATTATAGATAACATTAGATTACGTACATCATATTAATCTAAGGTGTATTATTATAGTTATTATAATTATCATTACTATTATACGTAAAATGGAGTTGTCACTTCCATGAAGAACGTGTGCTTGACTATTAATATATATATATTTATCGTTACATAAGGACGAATCTGTAAGTGCTGTGCGTGAACATTGAAATTGTCGAATCTCTAATACCCTTCCAGTCCTTGAAACACAACCAAAATGAACTTCTGCGATCTTTAGTATTTTATTTTTCATCGTAAGAGCAATATTTGATGATAATTCGTGGGCATTTATCTTTTAAAATTATATTACCGTCGATTTGATGTTATGCACATTATCTTCGTGTCTTTGAAATGAAAGCTTTCGTTGAGCCGAAGTGTTTCATATGCATACGTATGACCGGAACAATTGTTTTAACACTTGTGACTAAACCTACACAACAGTACTCTGTGGATTAGTCGGCTATAAATATGACGAGTTTTACCCTAGGAGGATTAGGAGAGTTAGGAACGAAGCAAGGTGACGGGGAAGAATTCTGTCTTCTTTGTACGATCAAAATTAATGAGTATATGTACTATCATTGTACATGTTACGTCGAGGTACCATTTCGTTTGTTAATCGGAATGGAAGTTAGGGTACTATCGTTTAACTTTCAAGTAGCAAGTAAAATGCATCGTTCTTAAACTTCTTGTTCCAATGAAATAAAGACGCGTATGTATTCCATATGAAGGTATTGTTATTCACTGATGTAGCTTTCGGCGAGGGGAACATCTCGTCCATAAGAGACGATTAAAGCACTCAACGATTTTTATCTATATTGTTTCTCCAGAGACTGAGAGTGCTCACTATTTAATATAATTCATTTTCTCTCCCAATTTTAATTCCAATTACTGCGAACATTAACGCATATTTTCACTGAAAACATCTGATATTCACCAGAACCAATGAGGGACAAGGTGCAAGCGCAGATGTTCCGAAGTTAGGTTAGGTTAGGTTAAGTCGGCAGTCACGCACAGGCGGGTGAAACCATGGACTAGGGTAGGATATTCATCCCACTGCGCGTGCGCGTCGACACGTCGAGAGTGAGGAACCAATCAGAATCGAGCTTTACACTTGTCAAATTTTTTCCGCGATTCTGATTGGCCGGTTAGGTTGCCGCGCTCGGAATGGTAGGTGCTATAGGGGTCGCCAATAGTTTCCGACAAGGGCACTCGAGAGTGAAGAAAACCTCACATAACCTCACATAACCTGTTCGCCGAGCGCGACGTGTCGAGACACGCATTTCGTCGCTTCTGATGTCCTTTGGCTAGTTTTCCTGCCGGCGAAGAGAAAGAACAAAACGGGACCATTTGGAGAAGTCGACGAACCGCGTTGGCGCGTTCACGCTGGCGGAAAGGTTATGGATAACTTTTTTAAGATCGAAAAGATTGGCGAAGGAACCTATGGCGTTGTTTACAAAGCGAAGGATAAGCTGACCGGGAAACTGGTGGCCCTTAAAAAGATACCCTTGGAAACGTACGTATCGGTAAGAGACGGTAAGAATTGCTCTGTGCCCGTGCAGGAGCACTTTCAGGTTTCAGAGTGCCTCGTATGGAATTCCTAACCTCTCGATGTGACCGCGTCCCTATACTGCCGCTCCAAGCATCTAAAGCGAGTCTTTTAAACACTGAGACACTTCTAAATAATGAATGCGAAGCTTCTGTAAATATTTTAGGCACTGACGAGTCTTAAATTCATGACATGAATTTGTTACCTCCATCACGGTTGAACTCGTGCCAAAGGCACGATGCTTAATAAATTCAGTTTAATTCGTGGATTATTAAATATACTTATTATAATTCTGATACATCTTTGGGTTTGATTTTTATTAATGTAGATGTAAATATATTGCTTCGAGGTCGTCCTTTGTGCTTCGAGCGGCAGTAACGCGGCGTGCCTTTTTCAGGTTACGATAATACGTGTCTTAACGATTGGTGTGTTCTGGATCCTAATATACGTTGCGGCCCCTAAAAGTAATTTACTAACTACTGTGGTTTATAATTTTTGATAGAGCTTAAGAGTGGTTGTATTGAATTCTTTATGCATTCTGTTTTAATGTTAACCCCAAGGTGCGTAATGCCACTCATATCGCTACCGCAGCACGAGCGCTCACGACCTCCCTAATGGTGGAATCTTCCCATTGTGTGGAAAGGGCTTTCGCTTTTATGCAACGCTAATGCATCCTTTAATCGGTACGTTGGGGTCAGCTGAATCTGCAGGGGCCACGTTACTGTAAGTTGTCGTAGCACCACATTATTCAGCTTGTCCCATCGTGCGATGTGCGCCTGATATTTAATTCAGCGATTCTTCGTTACGCGAATGAGAACTTCCATTGTGAAGTTCTAATATGTGGATATATTGTTTATTTTGCATACCTTGCGATTACAGTTTTGGAGTTCGACTTGCTTTTATTAATGTTTACCGCCTTGTATAATATTAATGTGATTCCATATTCGTCAGTGTTTTTAGTTCCTGTTTGAATTAACGCTTGCTTTATTCATAGATTATCATAATTTGTATGCTTCATTGTATCTCGTCCATAGAATGTAAAAGTCATAAAGTACAAACAGGTTATAATTGTGTGTTGACCGTCATTAGGGAAAGCGAGGGCGTGCCATCCACTGCCATTCGAGAGATATCGCTGCTCAAGGAATTGGTTCATCCAAATGTGGTTCAGTTGTTGGATGTGGTGGAAGGCGAGAAACACCTTTACCTGGTATTTGAATTCCTTCAACAGGATCTTAAGAAATTATTGGACTCGGTGAAAACTGGCTTGGAACCGATGCTAGTTAAGGTAGTCTACCTTTAACGATTTGAAATATTTCTAAGCTTATGTTACTAAATTATTTATGATCGTAAACGAATTTTTGTTCTTCAGAGTTATTTATGGCAACTGCTCAAAGGCATCGCCTTCTGCCATCTTCATCTCACTCTGCACAGAGACTTGAAGCCTCAGAATTTATTGATCGACCGAGAAGGTTTCATCAAGCTGGCTGATTTTGGACTCGCCAGAGCCTTCGGCGTTCCTGTCAGAACTTATACACACGAAGTCGTGACTTTGTGGTATCGGGCTCCTGAGATTCTTCTAGGCACAAAGTTGTATTCTACTGCGGTCGATGTGTGGAGCCTCGGCTGTATTTTTGCAGAGATGGTACGTAATTTTTCATCGGCAATTTTCTCTTTTAACAAAATAACCTCTCTTAGATTTTTCACTCTTCAAATATTTGACACTATTATACTTGTAGAATACTTTTAAATACTTTAATGACGTGCGATAAAATCTGGTAGAAATTATTCATTGCTTGTTTCGTTTCCAGGCAACAAGGAGGGCTTTGTTTCCCGGTGACTCGGAGATAGATCAGTTGTTTAGGATATTTCGCACGTTAGGCACTCCGGATGAAACAATGTGGCCTGGCGTTTCCCAACTTCCTGATTACAAGTCGATGTTTCCAAGATGGGAAGCTCGCAGCTTGGAGGAAGTCGTGCCTTCGTTCGATGCAGATGCCAAAGATTTGCTCCGCGTAATGAACTTTACCATTTCTTATTCTCAGACTTAGTAGAAACCTTTTTTGCTATACTTTATATTTATTCCAAGTACATCGGAAACTTGAAGATGAAATAAAATGAAAATATACCTTCCGATGTATTTTAGAACGTAACCCATATATTAAATTCTAAGCGTAAGAAAGTTTTGGTGAATTTATTAAGACGTATTAAAATTCATTGTTGCAGAAACTGTTGACCTACGACCCCAACAATAGGATACCGGCAATGTCAGCACTGGAGCATCCATACTTCCATGGAGTGAAATTGGTACCTCCGCCACTTCCAAAGAAAGACTGAACGTCGCTATAATTTTCTCTCATTACATTTAGCCGTAGACCGTATTTAAGATTATCGTTAAGTAAGGTAAATACAGTGAGAATTTGAATACTGCGTGTACAAACTCTCATTATTAGTCGAGGAGTGTCGAGGCGTCCGGGTTAAGTCCAAGATGCTTTTCTTCGTTTATTTCTCTTTCTTTCTTTTCTTTCCACGTGAAGTGTTGGAAATTATTTATCACGGCGCTCGCAGAGACCTAGCCTTTTGTAAAGAAACATAGAAAGCGTTCAAGTGTTGATAATATATTTTATTTTTGTAAGTCGACTTATTACAGTTACCAGAAGGGAATTCGATCTAGATACGTATTTATTAAGGAGGTTAGTTCGTCGGCCAGCCGCGAGATGGCGCACCTATTTCCTCCCATCGTATATTATCTTGGGATTCTTAACTTTCTGCTATTCCATATGTGCCCATAATTATGAAAGTGGTCTAAATCATATATTTTTTGTTTCGAAATAACATTGAATTAATTTCGTTTGAAATAATATGGCGTGAAATAACTGATAAACTCATTCTTTTTTAAATTTTGACTTAGACCACTTTCATAATTATGGGCACATATAAATCCATAAATCATAAATAAACTAAGTCGTTCCCCTTTAACCAACGATTCTTGTAAAGCAGAGAATTGCAAGATTGATACGCGTTTATGGCCTGCACGTACAACAACGAAGGAAGGAAATACTTGCAATTCACAATGAGATTGAATGACTCTAGAGAAATAAAACTAAGTCTCGAGGCCCTCAAAAATGTTTATTAAATAAACTATGAGAGAAACTTAACCCTTTCCGCAACCCTGGGTAAGTTTAGCGTGTAACATTGACTTATTGTAAAACAGCGGATAATTAAGGTGAAGTGCAACACCCTTCAAATCAGTCGATTCGAATACAACACTTTTTTTTAAGGGTATTAGACCAAACTGTTCGAAATTTTGACACATCACTTCTCCTGACACATCAATTTTCCTGACACATTCAAAATTTGGATTTTTCAAAACAATTTCATAACTCAGCTCAGACCAGAACCTAAATGGCGTCGAGCTCTCATATTTCGATCAATATACAATTATCGAAGGCTCTGATATGGGAATCGAAAGGGTTAGGACAATTTTACAACAATTTAGAACACTCTGGTAATCGATAAACTCGCATTTGAACGGGATAAAGGCAAAAAAAGTGTTGTATACGCTTCTATGCCAAAACGATGGTAATACGAGGTCTCGGAGTGAAAATTTAATTGACCTGGAAATCACAGATGGCGCAAGGTGTCCCTCTGCAGTCAATTAGGGCCCCAGAAAGCACGAATCCAGAGAATTTCTAGAGTTTGACTTCGATGTCTTTATAATTATTGTACGAAAACGACAGGTGGAGTACGCCATTTGGTACAATACCCAATATAATTCGATATAGTTGTCGATATAAAAACCAACGTCGGCAACGTAGGTATTTAGAAAAATCTTTATCGACGTCGATCAAGTTCCTCGACGTGTTTCACTTCACCTTAATAATAAGTAGATGGAACAACGTATCCACCTTCTGTAACGTTAAATCGCGAGTTCTACCATCGAATTCAGGGTCTCCGCCAATTTACCATTACGAGAGTAACCATTCGAACGGTTTGCGACTAAGTAAACGTAAGAAGAACGTAAATAATATTCATTTCCTGGGAATCGAGTCTCAGCAGAGCCTCGACATTTCTGGATGATGCAACGGACGCGAAGCCGAAGCTTCGCCTAGGATCTCGTCCGAACCCTGGGGGTGGAATTGAGATGTAGGGGGCGTGGCCAGCCCAGGGACGAAACCGCCGACAGCCAATCATATTCGAGACGATATCCCCGGCAGGGAATCGAGCGCGGTGGGGGAGGGGACTCGCGCATCCTCGCGCTACTAATTGCCCTGGCTTTAATACATAGAGGGGAACGCCCGAAGAGGTGGCTTTGTACATTCGCTTAAGGTGAAGTGAAACACCCTTCAAATCAGTCGATTCGAATACAACACTTTTTTTTAAGGGTATTAGACCAAACTGATCGTCTAAGAATTGTACTGACACATTAAAAATTTGGATTTTTCAAAAAGATTTTTTAACTCAGTCCGGACCAGAAACAAAATGGCGTCGAGCTCTCATATTTCGATCAATATACAATTATCGAAGGCTCTGATATGAGAATCGAAAGGGTCAGGACAATTTTACGACAATTTAGAACACTCTGGTAATCGATAAACTCGCATTTGAACGGGATAAAGGCAAAAAAAGTGTTGTATGCGCTTGTATACCAAAACGATGGTAATATGACGTCTCGGAGTGCAAATTTAATTCGCCTGGAAATCACAGATGGCGCAGGGGGTCCCTCCGCAGTCAATTAAAGCTCCATGAAACATGAATCCAGAGGATTTCTGGAGTTTTACTTCGATTTCCTGATATTTATTGTACGGAAAGGACATATGGTGTATGCCATTTGGTACAATACCCAATATAATTCGGTATAGCTGTCCATATAAAAATGAACGTCGGCAACGTAGGCATTTATAAAAATCTTCTCTATCGACGTCGATCAAGTTTCTAAATATGTTTCACTTCACCTTAAGGTTGATAAATGACGTCGGCACTCATATTTCGATCGATATCGAATTCTTGAAGGCTCTGATATGAGAATCGAAAGGGTCAGGACAATTTTACAACAATTTATAACATTCTGGTAATCGATAAACTCGCATTTCAACGGGATAAAGGCAAAAAAAGTATTGTATGCGCTTGTATACCAAAACGATGGTAATATGACGTCTCGGAGTGAAAATTTAATTCACCTGGAAATCACAGATGGCGCAGGGGGTCCCTCCGCAGTCAATTAAAGCTCCATAAAACATGAATCCAGAGGATTTCTGGAGTTTTACTTCGATTTCTTTATAATTATTGTACGAAAACGACAGGTGGAATATGCCATTTGGTACAATACCCAATATAATTCGATATAGCTGTCCATATAAAAATGAACGTCGGCAACGTAGGCATTTAGAAAAATCTTCTCTATCGACGTGTTTCACCTCACCTTAATACTACTTTTTTTTCCGAAATTTTCGACATTTCTCATTTGATCAAATCATTTACAATGCGGAAGGCACCTCCCTCTTTGATGAATTTCGGATGAGGGGCATTTCCACTCGGCGAATTTTCTTATTTTAATCCGTTACCGCGGTGAATGGTCGATTTATTAGTTTGACAATTCGTAAGAGCGAGATCGACGTAATCAAATATCCCGTGTTATCGGTCGAGATAATCGCTCGATCGACTCCGAGGCCGAGAGCGTTACCAGCCCTTATAAAGCGGAGCAATTATCCGGATAAAATACTCGAGGAAATTTCGGTGATAAATTTAGGCTCGTAATAAGGGTGACTGGGCGAGTCATTTGCCACGGCGACNTATTTTTTGTTTCGAAATTACATTGAATTAATTTCGTTTGAAATATGGCGTGGAATAACTGATAAACTTTTTTTTTTTTTTAATTTTCACTTAGACCACTTTCATTATTATGGGCACATATGAGCATATATTTTTTGTTTCGAAATAATATTGAATTAATTTCGTTTGAAATAATATGGCGTGAAATAACTGATAAACTCATTTTTTTTTAATTTTTACTTAGACCATTTTCATAATTATGGGCACATATCAGGGCGTTCAATAATTGTATATCGATCGAAATATGAGAGCTCAACATCATTCATCGATCTTAAGGTGAAGTGAAACATCGATGGACCCCCTGCGCCATCTGTGATTTCCAGGTCAATTAAAGTTTCACTTCGAGACCTCGTATTACCATCGTTTTGGCATACAACACTTTTTTTGCGTTTATCCCGTTCAAATGCGAGTTTATCGATTAGCAGAATGTTCTAAATTTCCGTAAAATTGTCCTGACCCTTTCGTTTCTTATATGTGCCCATAATTATGAAAGTGGTCTAAGTCATATATTTTTTGTTTCGAAATTACATTGAATTAATTTCGTTTGAAATATGGCGTGGAATAACTGATAACCTTATTTTTTTTTTTAATTTTCACTTAGACCACTTTCATAATTATGAAAGTGGTCTAAGTCATGTATTTTTTCTTTCGAAATTACATTGAATTAATTTCCTTTGAAATAATATGGCGTGAAATAACTGATAAACTCATTTTTTTTTTTTTCAATTTTGACTTAGACCACTTTCATAATTATGGGCACAATTCGGATTCGAGGTATAGAACCCTGGATGGAAATGGGGGAGACATTCTTGTACTCGGATAAGGTCGAAAAGTTTCACCTCGGTAAAAGTTGTTGCCATATTTCACGCAACGATCCAATTAAGCAGTCTATTTCGCATTTTCTAAAATATACCCCTGACTGACAATGTGAGTATGTCGAGTAGATTTGGGATTTATGGCTTAATCTTAACTTCGTAATGGCCCCCGAGATGCCTCGAACTTTCCGGGGTACTAAAGGTTCGGTCAGCGGTTCGTTAAGGTGAAGTGAAACATCCTTCTAATCAGTCGATTCGAATACAACACTTTTTTTTAAGGGTATTAGACCGAACCGTTCGAAACTTTGACACATCGAAGAATTGTCCTGACACATTCAAAATTTGGATTTTTTGAAAAAATTTTTTAACTGTAATCAAATTATTCGATTCGGATACAACACTTTTTTTTAAGGGTATTAGACCGAACTCTCTGAAACTTTGACACATCCTGATCATCTAAGAATTGTCCTGACACATTGAAAATTTGGATTTTTCAAAAGAATTTTTTAACTCGGCTCAGACCAGAAACAAAACGGCGTCGAGCTCTCATATTTCGATCAGTATACAATTATTGAAGGCTCTGATATGAGAATCGAAAGGGTCAGGACAATTTTACGACGATTTAGAACACTCTGGTAATCGATAAACTCGCATATGAACGGGATAAAGGCAAAAAAAGTGTTGTATGCGCTTCTATGCTAAAACGATGGGAATACAAGGTCTCGGAGTGAAAATTTAATTGACCTGAAAATCACAGATGGCGCAGGGGGTCAATTAGGGCCCCAGAAAGCACGAATCCAGAGGATTTCTGGAGTTTTACTTCGATTTCTTTATAATTATTGTACGAAAACGACAGGCGGAGTACGCCATTTGGTACAATACCCAATATAATTCGATATAGCTGTCGATATAAAAACCAACGTCGGCAACGTAGGCATCTAGAAAAATCTTTATCGACGTTGATCAAGTTCCTCGACGTGTTTCACTTCACCTTAATTGCCTGACAGCTCGTTTCAAACTTC